GAGTGTTTTGCGACACTGGGGCGAGAGCGGGCGTTGATGGAGAGGGGGAGGGGGTGTGGCGAGGGGGCCAGGAGCGTCACGAGTCGCGACGGCGCCGTCTGGGGATTACCTACCCCTAGCCATTCCCAAACCGCGTCGGCGAGAGCCGTGATGTTACCAGGTGTGGGGGTGGGGAGAATGCGCACCAGCAGAGGTTTGGGGAGCAGGTGTTCTAGTGCCTTTTTGCTGCCCCCCCCCGCCCTCCACCCCCCCCTCCACCCCCCCGTCCAGCCCCCCCACGCACACTTCCTGTCGTTGTGAAGCACAAGGTTGTAAGGTCGTTGTCGGCTTGTGGCGGCCCTCACCGAGCCCCGGGACGCCAAAAAACCGACCCGGGATGAGACACCGGTCCCGGCGAAGAGGTCCAGACATCCAGGATTACGACGTTCCGACCGAGTGTAGCCTTGATCACGAGAAGGAATTTCGAGCACCAAAAAAGTGCCGAGACTCGATGGTTTTCACGCCTCGGGCCCTGCACTCGTCCGACACTGTTTCGACACTGTTTCGACACTTTTCCGGGCGCTCGAAGTCATATTTCGGGGATGTGGTCCTAAGTACGACGGGAGCAACATAAATTCAGGGGTCCACTTTGCGCGAAAATCGGAGATCTGGGTCTTCCGGGCCTCTTAGATTCGGCGACTCAGGGATGGTCGGCGGCGTGCCCAGGGGTGGCAGGCAGAGAGGGGCATGCCCTCTCAGAAGGCTCAAGAGGCGTCCGGCCTTCTGAGAAGCTCTCCAAGCTTTCTCCGATGACATTGGGTGGTTTCTTAGAAAGCTGTCGGAGGTTGAGAACCCTCCTACCCTGACACGTCGAGTGGCGAATTGGCCGTTTTCGGTTCGCGAGAGGGCGTCGCGGCCGTCATTTTTGCGGGTCCAGGTCCGTCGGTTTCGGTCCTAGGCCGTTTCATTCAAGGGTGGTTTACTAAAAGGGAGGTTTGTCCACCGCCGAATTGGGTGGCTTCTAAGAAAGCTGGAGGGCTTCTGAGGAGCTCCGCCTCCTTTAGAAGGCCTCTCGTTCCCCTCGGCGCACCGCCAGGAGGGGGCCCTGAGGGATGGGGCCCTCAGCATAGGAGTGGGATCCCGAGCTGAACATCCAATGTTTGAGGTGACTCGTCCTCAGTGCCTGGGCTTGCAGGACCCCATCCATCCTTGAAGCGCCGACTAGCGGGGTCCTAATTAGCAAGTCGTGTTGGGGGGATCTCTCCGCATCGCCGATGCATCGGCGATGCGGCTCGATACGGAGCCAAATTTTCTCAACGCCGACGGCACAGTTGCGGCGTGATCATCCTACCCCACCTACTCGGACTCATTTTGGAGGCCTCCACCTCCCCAGCTCTGGGGGGCCCTTCGCTTGCCAGTGAGGCAGAGGGGTCCTGGAGGGAAGTGGGTCCCTGGAGTCTCCGCGGGGCCCAGGACCCGCCTCCCTGGGAGCAGGTGCGGGGGACACTGGCAGGAGGAGGAGGAGGAGGAGGAGGAGGAGGAGGAGGAGGAGGACCCCGAAGGTGGGCGTGGGGATCAGCTGCGACCATGTGCGAACCTGCCCCTGCGGACCCCATCGGCGCTGGCGTAGGGGACCCCGCCGCCAGGTTTCGCCTTGGCCTGCAGACCTCCTTCGGCTGGGGAGCCTGGCCTGCAGGGGTTACTTTGGGGCTCACGTGCGGTGGCCCAGCACGCCCGCGAAGCTTCCCATGGCCCGAGTGTGGCGCCTTCCGCCCCCCGGGCCCCTCGGGCCCCCCCGCGCCTCTTCGCGCCTTCCGCCCCATCGTGCCCCGCTCTGCCCCGGCGCGCCCCGCCGCCGCTCGACCGCCGTCTGCCTCTCCTGCGGCCGCTGGCCGGGAAGTGGCTGCCCAGGAGGGGGACGGCGGGCGGGAGGGCCTTTGGCTTCAGACGCTGGCTGTGCCGCCGCACGCCTCACGTTGGCCTCGAGGCGGGCCAGCAGGCGGCCCAGCTCACGGCCATTCTCGCCCGCCCTGGCCCGCTTCCCCTCCCCCGTTTTTCCCAACCGTCCTGTGGTGCTGGGTCCTCGTTTGGAATCCACGGCGCCCCGCGCTCACTCCTCCCTCCTCTCCTCCCCTCCTCCTCCTCCTCCTCCTCCTCCTCCTCCTCCTCCTCCTCCTCCTCCTCCTCCTCCTCCCCCTGCACGTCCATTGCGGCACACCTCTCACACGCTTCGTGGTTCCATAGGGAGCTTCACCCAAGGCCCCAGTGGCAGGGTTCTCATGCGGTACCCGCCTCCATTTGGCACACCCCTCACACGTTTCGTGACCCCATGATTTCCGAGCTCCACCGAAGGCCCCAGTCGCAAGGCTCGCATGCGGTGCCCGCCTCCATTTCGGCACACGCTTCGTACGTTCCGTGGCCCCATAGGAGGCTCCACAGAAGGCCCCAGTGACAGGGCTCACATGCGGTACCCGCCTCCAATTCGGCACACTCCTCACTCGTCCTGTGGCCCCATACGGAGTTCCGCAGAAGGCCCCAGCGGCAGGGTCCGCGGTTGGTGCACGCCCCCACGTCGGCACGCTCCTCACACGTTTCGCTGCCCCATAAGGAGTTTCACCGAAGGCACCAGTGACAGGGACCGCATGCGGTGCACGCCCCCATTTTGGGCACACACACACAAATCCCTCACACGTTCCGTGGCCCCATGGGAAGCTCCACCGAAGGCCTCAATGGCAGGGTTCACATGCGGTACCCGGCGAGCATTTGCGCCACACGTTCCGTGGCCCCATAGGGAGCTCCACCGAAGGTCCCAATGTTGGGGCTAGCATGCGGTACTCGCCTCCGTGCCGGCACACGCCTCAGACGTGCCGTGGTTCTATCGGGAGATGCACCGAAGGCCTCAGCGGCAGGGTCCACAGGCGGTGCACGCCCCCACTTTGGCGCGCCCCTCACATGTTCCATGGCCTCATAGGGTGCTCCACTGAGGGCTCCGCCGCCTGCTGCCCCCCAGGGCCGTGCCGAGAGACGCGCAGATCAGCCGTGACGGGTTGCATCCAGAGGTAATGTGTTACGGCCGACTTCTGCGACCCCACCATCAATCGGGGGTGGACAGAACCCCCAACAGTGACACGTCGATTAGTGAATTGTCCGTTTTCGGTTCTCGAGAGGGTGCCGTGGCCGTTATTTTACAGGCTTGCGCCCGCCAGGTTTGGGCCTCAGGTCGTTTTCACTAAACCACGTTTTGCTAAAGGGGGGTCTGTCCATCCCCGAATCAACGTCGGTCTTTCATTCCGTGTCGCTAGTTCCACTTTGGCATTTGTGCCAATTCCTCCCCGTAATTGCAACCTGTGTTGCAGCACTCGCGCAGCTGCACATGGTCGGGTCCTTCGCTGGGCCGAGTTCCAGCTATGGCGACCCGACTTTGCCTGTGTCGGGCTGGCTTGGCCCCCTGCCAGCTTTTTCAGCCATCGCCCCTTCACTCACACGCAAATGTGTTTGGTATGTTTGTATGTGCCGTATTGTGCCCAGTGTCTGGTGTGCCACACTTTCCAGGTCCGCTTGCGGAGCGCGGGGCCGTCGAAGGTCTCTCGACCAGGCTTGCAGTGACTTGATCTGTACGCTGCTGTGCCCTTCTCCGTTCTCCCTCCTTTCTTTTTGTGTGTTGGGGGGGCAGCAGCCCTGAACAGATCCGAGCCCGAGAACAGTTATCTGGGGGCTGACATGGATCCTTTCTTGGGCGGGAGCAGCCGTTAGCTCAATCCTTTGCTCAGGCAGGCTTGGGGCCTCTTAGCCGTCTGGGAGGTCTTTTGGGGCAGTCGTGGTGTCGTCTTGTATCTAAGGCCACCTTGAGTTCTCTCCAGATCCCTTTCTGGGCCAGCCTGGGGCTATGCGACCCCTCCATTTTCTCGGGATTTGAATTCTGTGGGGGTTGTGGGTGTTTGTTGTCAGATGAGGGTCTTCGCTCGAACGGGAGCCCCCCTCCGGGTCCGACAACCTGCACCCATATCCATAGCATGTTCATCTCCGTGCCCTGTCACATTCCTCCTCTCAATAAGTTTGAGTGTGGGGTGGATGAGAGGAAAGGTCTGACGGGGGCAGAACGGAAAGGGTCGACAGCGGCGAACAGTCTCCGCGATGCGTTTGAGTACTTGGCCTCTTCCTCCTCCTCCTCCTCCTCCTTTGGGGGATGGGGTGGACTCGGGAGAGAGAGAATGAGTATCAATGACACGCCGCCGTTGTGACTCCGTCAGCGTGTTACTCAGGGGCGCCCTAACCGACCCGACCCCTAGGAAACCTTTCGCCTCACCACAAGACGTACGTATGTGGCTGGAGGGCAGCTTGGAAGGCGAGGATGACGTCACGGACGGTGCTCGCCACGGTAAGGGGTCGGTTAGGCCGCGCCCGAGTTACGCCTCCGTCCGAAGGCTCGGTGTTTCTTCGACGGTCGTACGCTTCATGGCGCCCACATCGCAAAGCGGATTTAGTTAGAAAAACGATGGAATGGGCCTGGATTGTCCTGGAGAATTTCGTTTCGGATTTCGAAGTGAATTTCGCGCGGATTTTGTTTGGCCAGGAGTGCAGACTACAAAACATCCACGTGAAATTCCTTTCGTTTTTCGCTCGCCGTTCCGGGGTCTTGCATTGACAGAAATCCAGTCAAAAATCCGCTGCAGCACGTCTGCAAGGTCGGTGCAGTGATACACTGATGGATTCCCCGGCGACCCACAGTCGGTCGATGCTAAACGATCTTACGTTTCGGAAGCGGCCGATCGTTCAAGGTTGAACGATCCCCGCGGTGTCAGAAACCAACGCCGGGATCGACACGATACGAACCCGCCGTTTGCTGATGGATTCCCTGCGGCGTGTCGCCGAGGCTTCTTCATGTCAGCCCGTGCGCACGCGGCTCTGGATCGCGCGGCCGACGAGTGGCGCCTGCCCGCCCGCCCCAGGAGCGCCGCAGGCAGAGGCCGGAGGACCGCGCGGGGTGCAGGGCGCCGTCCTGCCCGCGGCGTCTCCTCGGG